GGGATTTGATATAAGTCATGTCAAAATGATTGTTGTTGAAGACTCATGTATTATGTTTAATAGTACGTTTCGTACACAGGCTTTGGATATCATTCATCGTTCACCAAGCAGATCACAAAGGGTTTTTATGACCACAGCCACAACTTTCACTCTTGCTGACATAAAACGAATATTAACACCGAATGCCAATATCGTCCTAACTGATGTGCACATGAGTGCAGGATTAGAACTATTTTATACACTGGTAGAGAAGGAAGAGTTGAAACTAAACTCACTTTGCGAACTTTACAAAGCATCAGATATGGGGAAGTCAATTATCTTTTGTGATAACGGAGAAAGAGTCTATTGGTTGACTGATAAATTATCCACATTGTTTGAAAATATTGATGTGTTCTCATTGGTAAGTTGAAGGTAGCATTTTTTTCCAAAGGCTAAAATAAAGAATTATTTACAAGACGAAGTACATCCAGCATTCTATGACGAACCAATCTGAACGGCATGAGATTGTTAAAACATTTTGGCAATCATCAAATCCTGCAATTATTGTCACGACGGATAGCTTTGCAGCGGTGCTTTCATTTAAACCAGTCAAATATAGCATTCATTTTGATTTACCATACAAAAAAGAAGATTATCATGATCGGTAATGTTTACTAGTCTTTAATATTTCATTCGCGTGCTCGAAATATATTAATATCTACGATTACTTTAGAATTTGCTGTTGTGGTGGATATGGTTCTTCAGGTACCGTTATTAATATATTAACGCGAAACCAATTATATGATCTTGGACTTCTTGAGCGCTATTTCCGAATACAAAGCAAAGAACTTCCGGTATCTATCAATCATGACTTTCGCGTTTGTTTAAGGAAATTTTAAAGCTTGAATTATTAACATTGTAATTTGTCCACATTCAGGAGAAATCACCTATTTAGATATATAATCGAACTAATGATTTACTTCCTTGTTAGCTTCTTTGTGAATGAATACATCAATGATTTTCATTGCTTCTCAAGCTAACAGCCATGAATTTGATTTAATGTATTGTGTAAAATTGGCATCATTCGCGCACATGATCCTGCTATTATTTATAAAATATGTTTCTTTAAAAACAAGCAACGGAGAATCAGAACGTGACGGTTAATTCTGTAATAAGATCTTTACGTAACGCGACGTAAAGTTTATTTATATTGAACTTTTTCTTTAATAACCGAAACAATGGCCTGTTAGGAAGCTTTGCGAGCTAGAAATAAAGTTATCGTAAATCGCAAGAAAAATTGATTACTTCTAATAATTTGTCTTATGATATTCAACAAACTTTTTCAGAAAAAAACTTTATATTGTTTACGCAGTTTTTATATTGCAGTATTGATACGAAAGAATCATTCTAAAATTGGATGTATAAAATATTTTAAACCGACAAAAGGTAAACATATAAAATAAAATAAAGTAAACTTTGGCATGAACGAAGAATCTAAAGGGTAAAATATCTCTACCAAAGTTAATCCAAAATTCCGTATCGAGAAATATGAAATTATTAAACTTATCACAAATATACGATTTTGCAAATTAAGCATACCTATACACATTTACTATTTTTCCTTTGGTGTTTTTGTCTTTTCTCCAAAAGTTTCTTCATACAACTCACCAAATGCTTCTTCAGTCATTTCCTCGGACATCGCATAATCTA